TAAAGAGGAGCGGTTGAGTGGGGCTACAGTTAGGACCAATAATGCTGAGATAAATTCCAAAGCCAAGCTCGGATTAACTGTCTCCCAAAATATTCACTCAAAGCCAGTAAGTTAAAATAGAGTATTGAGCCAAAGAAGACAATTCCAAAAGATTCAGAGCAGAGCCACAGTAAAGTCATACCCAGCTTGGGGATCAAAGCCATAAGGTAGTAGCAGATGTGTGTGACATTGATTTTAACTTGCTAAATATACCTTGGATTTCTAAAAGTTGATACCCAATAGTTTTGATATCTTTGTTTATAACACATGTGAGATGTATGACCTCAATTATCTTTTCTGTTTCCTACTTTTATGAAGAGAATATAATCACAACAAATTTTTTTAAAACACCAGGAAAAATGCTTGTTCAGAAAAATACAGTACATACATAAACAAAAAGATGTAGCATGTTACTAGCACTTAGCAAATAACAAATTCTTAGCATCTTTCCTCCTTAAGTTCGTAACTGAAGATGGTCAGATTGACCACTTTGGGTGTGAAAGGAAAAAATAAAGACACATTTACCTTTCAATTCACCTGCTAGGTGTGTTCACTGTATGCTCCCTTATATATGCGAGGCCTGGGCCTGGGTGACTGCACGTTCAGTTGTCAGGGTTTTTAACAAACTGGAGAACCATTTGTTTCTGCACAGCACATTACCTTTACATAGGAGCAATCAGCGGAGAACGTCAAGTAGCCAAGCATTCTGCATTACAAAGCACCACCTTCACAGTTACCCATCATTGCCCAACTGTTGTACAACTGTGTCTACTGCACAAAAATACATGCAACTAGAAATATGTTTGAGAAATAATGCTTTAAAAATTATTTTCACCTTAAATTTCTCTGTATCGACACAGATCCAGATTACCATTTAAATCCCAAGGTAAATAACACTTGTACATACACTTTATATTGCTATCAAAAACCTATCCATAGGCTCTAACTACTTTAAAAAGAATTTGTCAGTCACATAAGATTGTTAGTTTATTTTTTTTTGCAATTATGCCAAAATAAATACATATTTTAAAACCAGAAAGAAAATACAGAGAAAATTCTTAAGATAGAATTATTAATGTTCACAATGACAGTAATTGATGCTGTGTATTTAAACTGGTACACTCTAATGGAAAAAACAGATCAGGTGGAGCTCAGATGATTCTGGTATAAGTCTTAATCTGATTTGTCAGGGCAGATAGAAGGAGTATGATTTGGAAGATCAATATATAATAATAATTATTATTATTAGGTTAATAATACAGCTCAGCAGCTGTGTTGAGACAAATTAAGTGGCTACATAGTTTGAAAGTCAGAGTGTTAAGTTAGGTTTATGATAAAAGCAGTGTACGCTGGTAGAACGAGAGAGGGTAATATGAAGTCAAGTTAGAGCTATGAGGTATTGGTGGTTGTTCAAGCAGGAAGCATATCGTCTTCTAAGAGCTTCAGTAGCAGGAATTAGGGATTCCATTCTCAGGAAAAATGGTAGATTATAATGTCATAATAGGCCTAGAACTAAGGCATTAAGGCATTCACTTGTCTTGTTGCCGTTCATTTGCTAAGTCATGTCTGACTCTTTGTGACCGTCTCGGGCTCATTATAATCATTTTCTGGGTACAGGATGGATCCTATATAAGACACTGTCCTAGTTTTCTTTTGCTGAATAAGAAATTAGTACAAATGTAGTGGCTTAAAACAACACCCCTTTAGTAGCTCACAGTTCTGTAGGTTGGGATACTGCCATGGAGTGGCTTGGTTCTCTGTTCAAGGTCTTAAAGTTCTGAAATCAGCATTTAAATACTTGTAAGATAATTCTAACATCTAACTCATCCTGATTTGTCATCATTTGTCATTTCTTATTCAAGTTGTTATGTGTCAAGTTGTTATGGTGAGTAGTGATATTTTATTATTTTTTGGACATTTTGGCTATTATGTTAGGATACTTTGGTCCCTATTTAAAGTTTTGTTTTGCTTTATCATTTTATCAGGCCTTTCATTTTTATAGGTTTGGCACATAGTGCCAAATTTCGTGGACCATGCTTCCATGACAATCTAATTTTCAGAACCTTCATGGTACCTTTTGTGTTGTGCAGGTGGAGCTACTTCTGCCCTACTTCTACTTACTTCCATAAGTAGCTGATGCAGCCTCCTCATGCTGCCTCTGGGGTCAGAAGCAGCTTCCCCAGGACTAGGCCACTTGGTGCTACTGGTGGGGGAAGGGGATCTCTGGACCACTTGATGAGGACGACTTCCTGTGCCAGGCACTTGTGACAGGCTCTCCCTGGATTGTATGGAATGAAGGGCACTTACCAGGTTGAAGACTTTCTGTGGAGGTACCAGCAAGTCGCCTAATGTCTCTGGATAGGGGAGAGGAGTCTCAGGCCCTTCTGAGGAGGAGAGCGTTTTCCAAGTGTGAGCTTATTGGTGGCATCACTTTTTCTGGCTAAGGAGCCACTGGTGTGTATGGCTGGTGAAGGGGAATCTCGGGTCAAGTGGGGAGAAAATCACTTTATCTGGGGATTTATTGTCAGCAGGGATTTCAATTGTTCCTTCTTTTAGGTTCTTCAGTGCTCATTTGGTATTTGTGGGATTCCTATTTGATGTGATGGTTTGAGCCACTTCCTGTTACTAAGTTGAGAGGGAATGCTGGGTTTGGGTCACATTTCTTCTTGGTAGAGGTCATAAGGTGCCCCACCATGAAGTTGCTCAGTCATTCTAAGGGTCCCTATCCAATTCACCTTCTTCTTTAGACCTTTCAGAGCTCATATTTTGTCGTCTTATACTGTTTCCAGGATATATAGCTGGGTTTATAAAAGGGGAGCAGGGAAAGAGGAGCATAAACCATCTTATATGGATTAGAAGTCCTCTCTGTGCCTTTCAAGTGGTCACCTGATTGGGACAAGCTCACTCTGGATAATTTCCCAATCAACTGTGCTGTTTATCAGAATCTAACAATGGGAACAATATTCCATCACATTTACAGGTCTCATACTCAAGGAGAGGGGCTACTACAAGGATCATTAGGTGTCATCATAGAATTCTGTCAACCACAGAAGGTGTATGTGAATGTACTGAAGCATTAATTAAGCAGTTATCATCCTTTGGAAGACTGGAAGCTGTTAGGATAGTATGAAAACCAAGTACTGTTACAATTATTCTACTCATAGTAGATGAAGTACACCTGGTATCAGAAATGCTTGATAAAAATCAGAATATTCAAACAAATTTCAGTTTAGTTAATGTCAGTTTCAGAGGTTTCACCTAAGTCTTCATTCATGGCCATGCAGATATCTTCTGTGTGAAAAATATGCTAGCTGAAAAGTGAATTTAAAAACTTCACCACCATTCCCCATTTATATTTTGTAGTTATGTGCAAATACTGTGGCTACCAGCAAGTCACATAGGAAATAAAGGTCAGTGATGTTTCTGACTTTAAATTTTCAGAGCAGATTTATACTTAACACTTACCTGCATTTGAACAGGTTGCACATTGTACAAAGTCATGATTGTTGCCACAGGTTGTAATACAATGTACTCTCACCAGGATGGAAAATGTTAAGGAAAATTTTTTGCACTGGCCAATAGGGTCTTTTGCAATAGTTGGTTCTTCCCATCAGGTAGCCAAAGTATTGGAGCTTCAGCTTCAGCATCAGTCCTTCAGGTTAGATTTGGCTAATGTGGACTACTGACAAAAGATTAGAAGTCAGGAGGAAAGAAGGTAAGGGTATTCATTTCTGTGATGCACCCTCTCCAAAACTTTGGATTGGCAGTGGCTGCCATTTTCTCAGCTTATAGCTCTTGCTGGGTGGACTTCTACTACACCTCTTAAGACATTTGGGGTTGCAGGAACTATCATCTCTCTATGCCCCTTCAAACCTAGGGGTTCTAATACTGGCTTCTCAGATGCTAGCCTCTGGGTACTTCATCATCTCTTGGTCTCTCTTCATTATTTTCACATTTTAGTCTCCTCATTAAATGATACTCCATCACTCTTTTAAAGTGTGCCACCAGCTTTTGGTTGGATTCTGACTAATACATTGGTAGTGGGGAATTGGAGAAACGTTAAGGTGGTATTGGGGAGGGTGGGATAAACTGCTGGAGAAGGGATAAATGGAAGAGATAAACTGGATAAGGGATAAACTGGAAGAGAAGGGTTTCAAAGCTTTTTATGGCATTCTATGAATATAACATGACTTTTTTATGTGAATGACTCTAATGCAGTCTTAAATTGCTTCTTAATTATTTAGTGGGTTCTTGTTTCTTTGCATGAACAACCAGGATTGAACATGGCCAAGAGATATCTGGGATTTATATGACTAGAAGATACTACTAGGATCTATCTGGATTGATTATATCATATTAGAACATTTCTCTCATGGCATCAGGAATATCCCAACCCAGTGCACATACTACATTTCTATTGAAATTCAATGCACTGCTATGGTGTGTAAGTCATTTTTATTGTCAGATAGGATAACACTGTTTGACTTTTTAATATTTCCTTTTATTATGAAACAGAAATTGGGGAAAGCCCAATAATTTCTTCAGGAACAAGTAATTCAGTTCCGATTGTTACATATAGATTCAGATTGTTATACTTCCACATAAATAACTCTAAAAGTGGACATAAGGCAGATGACTTTTTTAAAAATCATTATAACACTTTATATATCCGAGAATTCAGATCTCACATAGAATTATCTGCCTCAGGTTGGATCCACTACTGGCCCACGACAAACAGGGCAATTTGAATGTTCTGCCAGCCATCGATCAATGCAGGCGTAATGGTATTCATGGGAACATGGAAGGATGCGTAGCATGTTGCCTGCGGTGTATTCTGTGATGCAAATGCTACACACTTCATGTGAATCATTCTCTGCAAGATATCTTAAAGGCAAGTTGTCAATCTGTGTTGTTGTAAGGCCTGTAGTTTGGTGTGGGTCTGCTTCAGTTAGTAAAATAACCTCATCCAGGTTAAGGGAGGACCCAGAGTCACTATCATCAATTATGATTGGGGTCATTCGTCCCCCTTCTTGCCCAGCCTCTGATAAGCCTGTTGATAAGCTTCTTTCTTCACTCTCTACCAAGATCAGAGAGCTAGTTTCTGAATCTTCATCATTTGAGCTGGAAATGAATATGGGACTGGATGCAGAGCTATAAATCGAATAGGGGCTTGAGTCTGAGATCACTATTAAACTTGAATCAGGATCATATCTAGCATCTGAAGCAGAACCAGGGCGACTCTCACTACCACTGGGTCCATGTCTTTCATTTGGTGACTCTGCCCTTTCTATGTTTTCACTTGGAGGTGAGACACTATGCTCTAAGTTACTGTCACTGTCCATAAGATTACTTGAGTAACTAAATCCTATCATTGTCTGCCATGATATACTTGGAACTGAAACAGATGTTATATTTAAAATTCTATGAATGGGATTTCCGATGGTATTGACAGAAGCACTCTCACTGGCCTCGTCAGAATATGAAAGCACAGGCTGAAGTACTTCCTCACTTTCTGAAGTGGTAGTGATGTTCGGAGAGTCAGATGTTAACTGAGCTCTACTAACTCTGCTGTCTATCAGAGAACATGCTGGGCAATGAACTCGTTCTACTTCGAGAATGAAGGGTGTGGTTAGATTTGTTTCTATCACTTCCCAAGATTCACTACTGCACGTTGTATCTGAATCACATTCTTGATGAGCAGCATTCCTAGTTTTAGAAGTTTCAATAAGACCCATACTTTGTAACTCATGTCCAGGCATTTCCTGTCTCAATGTTTCTTCATGCCCAGTTCTAGAAGATCTCTCATTCTCACATATGAGAGGTTCTTTAAGAGTCTGAGATGGTATATCTTCATTAATACTTGGAAAAAATTCCCACCGTGAATGTGGAGGTGACCAACTGTCAGTCCTTGCTCTGGTGCTCCGATAGACTGGGCTCCTCCTTCTTAGTCTTCTCTGACTTCTAGTCGGTGGGACTTCCACTAATGTTTCCATTGTATCTTGTTCTGATGCAGATGGTGTTGTAAATAGTGGCTCAGATTGTGGGGTTTCCACTTGTTGTTGGCTGCCTTCCGTATCTTCTCTCCTGGGAAGTTTTGCAGATGCTACACATTCATCCTCTGGATTTGAGTTTTCATCATCACGGTCAAGATTTCTTTCTAAGCCAAATCTGAGCTCATCACTATTAGCACTATTTTGGCTCTCTTCTTTCCAAGACAGATATTCTTTTTGCTCACTTGTCACATTTTCAGTTTGTCCAGAAGCGGTAAGGCAGTCTATTAGAGAGTCATCACTGGATACATCATCTGTAGCATGTCTCTCTGTTAATTAAAAAGGGGGGGGAGGGGCCATAAAAGAACTACCAAAATTGGAGCCATCGTAAAGTAGCACTCTGACACTTGCTTTAAAAAGCAAACAAAAATGAGAACTTAAACACTCAGATGTTTCCAACTGATTTCACATTTACAGATTTGATAATTTAAAAGCTTTATTATCTAGATTTATAAGTAAAGGCAGGGAAGTTTCAATTTCATCTGAAAAAGAGTACACTAATCCTAGATAAATTCAGAGGGTATCTGAAGGAAGTCTGTTTTTCAATATTTCGTCATATACACAGCCCTGTATACCACTGTGGGAGGCATGTCAAGAGACATTTTTTTTCAGTCCACTGTTAAAACACCAAAGCAATTCTACAAGGTAAACACCAGTTAACATACAGTGCTAGTATTTTAATTCAATTGATATTATTGTCTATTTCTCATTAGTCTCCAACATCACTACTCCTAGGCTCTTATATGCTTTTGATAATGTATAAGTTGTTTTACAATATAAGATTATTGCCCAAATATAAACAAAGGTTATAGGTTTAAAAGTATATGAATTTTGAATACTTCTTAATATTACCAAGGTTTTTAATTGGCATTAAGCTGAAAGTCAGATCAAATGAATAGACTGAACCTAGCATGGCACATATAAGACCATATTCAAGAACCAAAGTGATAGTATCCTCTTCATTAGATAGTAAAATCCTCTATTTCACACTGGGAGAGAAGGCACCAGATCTGAGGTTCCAGCAGGGTTTCTCAGCCTTAGCACTATTTACATTTTGGCACTGGGCAATTCTTATTTTGGGGAGCTACCCTGTGCATTGTGTCGTATTTGGCAGCATCCCTGGCCTCTGCCCACTAGATCTAGTAACACCCATGCCTCCCTCTGTGACAACCAAAAATATCTCCAGCTGTTGTCAAATGTCTCTAGGGTGGGGGAGAGCAAAACTGTCCCCAGTTGAGAACTATTTGGTTAGAATATAAAATATTTCTTTTTGCTATTTTTTTTAACCACATCTATATAGATAGAGAGGGCTTCCCTCATAACTCAGTTGGTAAATAATCTGCCTGCAATGCAGGAGACCCCAGTTGGATTCCTGGGTCGGGAAGATCTGCTGGAGAAGAGATAGTCTACCCACTTCAGTATTCTTGGGCTTCCCTTGTGGCTCAGCTGATAAAGAATCCACCTAGAAAATGGGAGACCTGGGATACATCCCTGGGTTGGGAAGATCCCCTCCATTCTAGTATTCTGACTTGGATATTTCCATGGACTCTATAGTCCATGGCGTTTCAAAGAGTCTGACACGACTGAGTGACTTTCACTTTCATAGATAGAGAAAATAATTCGGGACATAGGAGGAACATTCCATTGAGGTACAAAACCAAAAACCAAACAGAAACCAATAGTCTACCTCACACTGCTTCCCAGTTAAAACAACCCAAATGTGAATCAGGAAAAAAAGAACCTACCCTGGCATTCTCACTGCAAACCAAGTCAATGTCAGTTCTTTTTTATGAGAAGTTCCTTACCTAATAATTTATGCCACTTCTTTATAATTTACTATTTACTATTGTGAAGTGATTATTTAATACTATGAAGTTCCTTTTTCATCCCATCCTATTCCCTCCAAAGAGAAATATACCTGGATTTTCCTCTGAGTTTTGTAGTGGGTTTTCTTTCATTAATTGACGTCTCCTCATCAACTCTTCTTCTGTACTTTCACCTAGGGGGCCAAGCAAATTGTTGTCCCTCATAAGTATGTAATCTCCTTCACTCAGATCACTTACGAGTCTGTAGCAATCATCTTCTCGAGCCTTTCGGTCTATCTGATCTCTGCGTCGGACCGAAACTCTGTCTTCTTCATCGTCAGCATCTGAGCTTTCCATCTCGAAGAAATGTAAAATTATGTGAATTTCATGACATAGTGCTGAAATGCTAAAACCGCAGTCAAATTGTATTTAGTGTATGCTTCCACCCCGGAGTGACCGGAACACACTCGGTCAGACCGTCAGCCTAAGTTCCCCGCAGCTCCGCTACTCCGCTATGGCACCTCAGCTCTGTACTCTCTGGTGAGGCAGTAGTTGAGATCAGCCTCTACATCCTAACTTGCTTAGGTGTTGCCTAGGCAACCATTGTCTTCCTTAAGGAACTGAGTAGGGGCTCGATTCAGGTTGGGTTTCATTTCATTCAAAAGCAGCCGGTATTTCTGAGGGTTTACCCTCTGATGACGCTTGATGACGCTTGATGACGTACCAAGCGCCATCCTTCAACTCTTCCCCCGCACCCCCGGCCCCCGCCCCGCCGCAGCCTGTTCTCAGGCTTTCAGAAGGCATTTTCTTTTTTTTTTTTTGACTTTTATTTTTTTTATTTTTTTTAATTAATTAATTTTTTTTAAATCACAACCATAGTGTATCTTTTTTTTTTTTTTTTTTTTACATGTATTCCCCATCCCGGTCCCCCCTCCCACCTCCCTCTCCACCCAATCCCTCTGGGTCTTCCCAGTGCACCAGGCCCGAGCACTTGTCTCATGCACCCAACCTGGGCTGGTGAACTGTTTCACCCTAGATAATATACGTGTTTCAATGCTGTTCTCTTGAAACATCCCACCCTCGCCTTCTCCCAGAGGGCATTTTCATTCGCTACATTTTACACGACACCGGCTTCAAAATGCCACGCCCAAGTCAGTCTCCTTAAATGTAGCATTCCTCATTTCCAGGTGCTGCGGGACCGCTGCCTTTTCTCCTCATGAATTGCTCAGACCTTAGACTCTCACTAAGAAAGTAGTTCAGAGTTTTTGATAATTCACCAGGGTCTTAGTTGACTCTCTTCAATGTGTCCTTTCCCTTTTAACTCTTAATGGCTTCATCTTGATTATAAGACCCCTCAATCCTGTTTCAAACGAACAGAAAACACAAAACTTTTGCAGGCTTTTCTGCTCATCCAGGGAATTTCTTCTCCGCAAAAGCATTCGATTTCATTTTTGTCCTTGTGTCTCTTGCAAACTAAACTAGTCAGACTATCACAGGAACTTTAAAAAATGGATACATAATATTTATTTTGCCTATGCTAATGAGTACCAACTTTACTGATTTTGTCCCATGTGTCTTAGTGCAACTCGGATGTCTTTATGTACTGGTGATAATAAATGAATGCTTATTTGTTATGCAACCTGAAGGAGACCTCTAAGAATTTCTGGACTCGTTAATACTGCAAGCCCCACTTAACACTTGTTTGAGAATTTTTCATTCAAATTATTCATGTAAAGACAAGGTTTGGCTACTGAATTCGAGATTATTTAATTTGACTTATTTAATAATTAATCCATCCAACATAAACTGGGTCAGTTATTGTCTTAGCCCTAGAGATATGTCAATTGTTGAAGCAGTTTGTATTCCCAAGTGATTCACATCAGGTGAGGCAAACACCATCTCAGTTCAGTTCAGTCACTCAGTCATATCCAACTCTTTGCGACCCCGTGAATTGCAGCACACCAGGCCTCCCTGTCCATCACCAACTCCAGGAGTCTACTCAAACTCATGCCTATTGAGTCGGTGATGCCATCCAGCCATCTCATCCTCTGCCGTCCCCTTCTCCTCCTGCCCCCAATCCCTCCCAGGTTCAGGGTCTTTTCCAATGCGTCAGTTCTTCGCATGAGGTAGCCAAAGTACTGGAGTTTTAGCTTCAGCATCAGTCCTTCCAAAGAACACCCAGGACTGATCTCCTTTAAGATGGACTGGTTGGATCTCCTTGCAGTCCAAGGGACTCTCAAGAGTCTTCTCCAATACCACAGTTCAAAAGCATCAATTTTTCGGTGCTCAGCTTTCTTCACAGTCCAACTCTCACATCCATACATGACCACTGGAGAAACCATAGCCTTGACCAGACGGACCTTTGTTGGCAAAGTAATGTCTCTGCTTTTTAATGTGTTATCTAGGTTGGTCATGTGAGAACCCCATGAACAGCATGAGAAGGCAAAATGATAGGATACTGAAAGAGGAACTCCACAGGTCAGTAGGTGCCCAATATGCTCCTGGAGATCAGTGGAGAAATAACTCCAGAAAGAATGAAGGGATGGAGCCAAAGCAAAAACAATACCCAGTTATGGATGTGACCGGTGATAGAAGCAAGGTGCGATGCTGTAAATAGCAATACTGCATAGGAACCTGTAATGTTAGGTCCATGAATCAAGGCAAATTGGAAGTGGTCAAACAGGAGATGGCAAGAGTGAATGTTGACATTCTAGGACTCAGTGAACTAAAATGGACTGGAATGGGTGAATTTAACTCAAATGACCATTATATCTACTACTGTGGGCAGGAATCTCATAGAAGAAATGGAGTAGCCATCATGGTCAACAAAAGAGTCTGAAATGCAGTATTTGGATGCAGTCTCAAAAACGACAGAATGATCTCTGTTCATTTCCAAGGCAAACCATTCAATATCACGGTAATCCAAGTCTATGCCCCAACCAGTAACACTGAAGAAGCTGAAGTTGAACGGTTCTATGAAGACCTACAAGAACTTTTAGAACTAATACCGAAAAAAGATGTCCTTTTCATTTTAGGGGACTGAAATGCAAAAGTAGGAAGTCAAGAAACACCTGGAGTAACAGGCAAATTTGGCCTTGGAGTACGGAATGAAGCAGGGCAAAGGCTAATAGAGTTTTGCCAAGAGAACACACTGGTCATAGGAAACACCCTCTTCCAACAACACAAGAGAAGACTGTACACATGGACATCACCAGATGGTCAACACCGAAATCAGATTGATTATATTCTTTGCAGCCAAAGATGGAGAAGCTACAGTCAGCAAAAACAAGACCAGGAGCTGACTGTGGCTCAGATCATGAACTCTTCATGCCAAATTCAGACTTAAACTGAAGAAAGTAGGGAAAACCACTAGACCATTCAGGTATGACCTAAATCAAATCCCTTAAGACTATACAGTGGAAGTGAGGAATAGATTTAAGGGACTAGATCTGATAGACAGAGAGCCTGATGAACTGTGGACAGAGGTTTGTGACATTGTACAGGAGACAGGGATCAAGACCATCCCCATGGAAAAGAAATGCAAAAAGGCAAAATGGTTGTCTGAGGAGGCCTTACAAAGAGCTGTGAAAAGAAGAGAAGTGAAAAGCAAAGGAGAAAAGGAAAGATATTCCCATTTGAATGCAGAGTTCCAAAGAATAGCCAGGAGAGATAAGAAAGCCTTCCTCAGTGAACAATGCAAAGAAATCGAGGAAAACACCATCTAGAAACTATGAAAATACACAATATTTTAGAATAGATTTATTTATGTTTTATTGTGTATGTACAGAGAATTATGCAACAATGATTTAATGGGAGTTGGGAAATGTTTCACAGAGGTATTATATTTAAATCTGAATCTTTAAATATAGTTATTAGTTTCTATAGATGGAAAATGGCAGTTATGTGTTGGTAGAGAAAAGCTCTGTCAGAAAAAGTAGACTTGAAAGACCTTGGCTTATTTGGGCAACTGTGGCCACAATTTTGGGGTAGGGGTGGAAACACGAAATTAATCTCAGAAAAAGTAACTGGCACAAACTATAAATTGAGTTTTGAGTTTTTTGAATGTAAGAAATAGGATACTGGTTAAGATGTTTTGGTATATTTTGAGAACAAGCAGTGGATTTTATTTTTGCCTGCTTAGTGTCCCTGTAACATACTTGTGCTGATAGCATCCTGATTTTCATGGTGGAAAAACTCATTCTACAGTCTTAGTCCAGTTAGTTTAAGTTTAGCCGAATTCCCTACCGTGGCTAAAGGAAAGGACATATGATACAGCCATGTCCAATCAGCATATCTCAAATTGGCTATGGTAATTGGTCAAAACATGAGCATGTGAACAAAAGTCCATTTAAGAGGTAAACCTGAAATATTAGCTAGGACTACTGAAAATGAGAAATTCTTTTCCACTGGGGTTACTAAGCTGGTGAGATATGAACCAAAAGATGCTTGTGGCTATGTTTTATCCCAAGAATGAGGAAAATTGACATTAAGAGACAGAGGAAAACAAAGATGGAGAAAGAACGAGATACTTGAGAGAAAAAAAATTGAGAAGTACCTGAAGCTAGATGTGCCTTAGGATTTTTATATCTTTAAAACAATGTATTTCATTTGAAAACTATAAGATTATGGTTGGAAGGCTCCTAATAATGTCATAGGAGAGTAATATGATTGCTGATGATGTAGTAGTAGTTGTTGTTGTTAAGTCGGTCAGCTCTGTCCAGGTCTTTGTGACACCAAGGACTGCAGCATGCCAGGCTTTCCTATCCTTTACCACCTACCAGAGCTTGCTCAAATTCATATCCATTGCGTCAATGATATAGTTAGATGTCAAAAAGTAATTTGATAGAGGGGAGGGGGGGTCAGGGAATGAGTGAAATAGGTGTGGGAGATTAAGTTGTACAAACTTCCAGTTGCAAAATAAAGAGTCAAAGGGATGAAATGTACAGTCTGGAGAATATAGTCAATAGTAATATAATATTTCTGTAGGATGACAGATGGTAACTAGGGCTGTGATGATTTTGTAATGTACAGAAATGTCTAATCACTATGTTGTGCACCAGAGACAAACAGTGTTGTCGGCCAAGTATATTTCAAAAGACAAATAAACAAACTTATAGAAAAAGAGATAAGATTCATGGTTACCAGAGGTCGGGAGGGTGTTGGACAAAGGAGGTCAAAGGGTACATACTTCTAGTTAGAGGAGAAATAAGTACAGGAATGTAATGTACAACATGATTAATGTAATTAAGACTGCTATGTTGTATATGAAAGTTGTTAAGAATAAATCCTAAGAGTTCTCATCACAAGGAAAAATATTATTTCTCTTTTCTATCTATATGAGGTGATAGATGTTTACT